TGTGGTAGGCGGGGCAGGGAGAACCAGAGCTGGGTTTGGGGATCAGGCCTCAGTGGACCAAGTGTTTGTCGTGCAAACACGAGGAGCAGAATGCAGATCCCCAGAACCCATGTAAATGCTAGGTGGTCATGGCGGGCTACCTATAATTACAGCAGCGGGAAGGAGCATAGACAAGGGAACCCAGAAGCAAGCTTGCTAGCAAGACTAGTCATATTGAGAGCCCCTGCCTCCCAGAATAAATAGTGATTTAGACTCTTGACATCTATCTTGGGCCTCCATGAGCATGTGCCTACACACATACAGCCATGAATGCATGCATACCACACACACATAAACATGTAAGAAAAACAAGAGAGATGACACTGAGACGTGTCTAAGTGAAGGTCGTGCCCTTTCCAAGGCTAGGCTGCCTCATCACCCACAGGCCACATGCGCTACCGTGCCCGGCCAAGCTGCTCTGAGGTCTAACGTGATCTTCCTGTCTCCTCCACCTTCTGTCCCTCTGAATTTTAGTGGTGTTGACTCCAGGTACCTTGGGAAAGGTTCTCATCTTCATCTTCTTTGTTAAAAACGTCTTACATTTCTTTATTTTTTTATTTACTGAGTGGGGTTCATGTAGAGGGCAGTGGATAACTTGCAGAAGTCGGCTCTCTCCTTCCACCATCCGGGTTCCAGGGATTGAACCCAGATCTCAGGTTGTTCAATCCTGTTGGCAGGTGCCTTCAACCACTGAGTCTCTCCAGCCTTCGTTTTGGTCTCTTGAGAATGATAATATCGGTCCTCCCTATGATATCCAGTGTAGCAGATACCCAAAGTCTCCACAATCTTCCCTTACTTTCCTTGTCCATCTCTTCATCCTCCTGGCCTCCCTTCTCCAGATCACAAGTGTGACCCTTCCAAACCAGTTCTCTAGGCTGGGTCTCGCGCTCTCACCAAGGACTCTGAGCATCTCTGCCTCAGAGATGCCTGTTTCCCCTCACTACCAGGTTCCCTGGAAAATGCCACCATCATCGAGGTGGTTTAGCCAGGTGCTTTGTCTGTAGGGACCCTGGGTTTTTCCTTCTATAGCATTTACAAAACAAGAATTCTTTCAGTGTCTTCTCTCAATGACCTCTTTGGTGGCCCACACACCCTCTCTATGGTCTCAATGGCATGCTGGCTCTCTCCCATCTATCACGTCCCTCACCAGACTAGGGGAGAAGAGGGAAGCCACAGTTCCTATCTTGGAATTGAGAGAAGCCCTGAGGGAGGTGATAGCACCGAGTTGTGGTCTGTTCTCTCTAGCTCCTGTTCCCAGCTCCCACCAGGACCTATTAGTGATTAAAGCAAGCAGAACTCAGGCTTCTCTCCCCAGCCCCAGGGCGTGGTCTTCTAGAATGTCGCTCTTCTCCTTGCTGATAGAAGCAGCTCAAGGCAAGGAGGGTTTCTCTGGGCTCATGGTTAAGGCAGGAATGCCATCTGTTTTGGTGGGAAGGCGTGGTGACGTGAATATTGGGCAGCTGGTCATACTACATCCATCATCAGGAGAGAGAGAGAGAGAGAGAGAGAGAGAGAGAGAGAGAGAGAGAGAGAAGAGAGCGCATTCCATTAAGCCTACCTGGAAAGGCCCTGATAGACATGCCCAGGGGGAATCTAGGGGGCTTTAAAAACCATTGAACAACACACTGTGTTAGTTTCTGATTGCTCTGAGAGATACAGGAGAACTTTAAAAAAGAGGAATTTATTTTGGCTCATGATTTCAGAGAGGTCAGTCCACGGTTGCTTGGGCAGAACATCTTGGTGGCCAGAGTGTATGGCAGAAAAGCTCCATGTCCTCATAGAGGGCAGAAGAGGAAAATGAACCACTTCCTGTAGCCAGGACCCACCTCTCAAAGTAGGACCACCAGCTGGGGACCAGCTATCCAAATGTGAGCCTCCCATGGGACACTTAGCAGAGAGCCCTTTCCAGCCCCGGGTGTCCAAACTGCTAAGGGTGAGAAACAGAACAGCTCCCAGAGACCAGAGCCGCCATACAGACCTAAGCTGCCCTGCACGGTGGGGAAGGACAGCTGTGGGATTGTGGGTGGCTGCTATTTGTGTCTTAGCCCAGCATCCTAGTGCCTGTTTCTAGCTATTTTCCGCCAGGAGCAAGGGCCAAGTCTTGAGAGTCCCTTCAGTGCCTAAGCCAGTTGCTGCTACTAGGAAAAACACTATTTCTCTTCTGGTGAGATTTAGATTCAAGACATGGAAGAAAGCATTTGGCCCTGAGCCTTTTTCTCCCTCTGGGTTTAATTCTCTCATCTCTTAGGAGTGAAACAGGAAATGCTGGGAGCACTTGCTTCCCATCCTCATGGTGAACAGACCCTGGACACTGCACTCTGTGGTCTGTATCATCCCCATCACTCAGAGCAGGGTGGGTGGGCTTAAGTGACTCGATCTGCTATGCAAATGTCCTGTCGTCACAATTATGCCAGGTTATTAGATGTTCCTCTCCAGCTTCCAAAGCCAGCGATAAACCAGGTGGTAGTGACGCACACCTTTAATCCCAGCACTCAGGAGGCAGAGGCAGGTGGATCTCCGAGAGATCAAGGCAAGCCTGGTCTATAAATCAAGTTCCAGGAGAGAGAGAGAGAGAGAGAGAGAGAGAGAGAGAGAGAGAGAGAGAGAATTTGAAATAACTGGGTACATACTCACTGGTAGAGTGCTGATCTACCGTGCACAGGGTTCTGAGTTCAGTCTCCAACATCACCAAGGAAAATGTTATTTCCAAAATAAGAGTGTCCAGTTCTGACCATCTTACCAGTCTCACCTGCTCAGAATGTGACCCATTTTTTTTATTCAAAAAGGGGACCCCAATAAAGGATGGAGACCCGATTCTCAGGGAAGCCGAGGTCACTTCCCTACTTAGAACATGCCAACTGTCTCCATAGCCCAACCCAGGCTCTCGCCATGGATCTTAAATGTCTTACAGGCCATCCCTGCCTCCTCCTCCTGCCTGAGCCACCTGCCCATCCCACTTCAGTCTCCCCCAGCATCCTGTAAGCATATGACTGCAGCTTCCCAGCACATTGGTCCACGTTGAAGTAGACCACGCCTTCTGTACAGTCATTTCTTTGGACCAAACCTATACTCTCCTCCTTCAGCTCACCCCCTTGCCCACGTGTGCTCCCTGAAAGCCTCTCCATACAAGCTGCATTCAGGGTGCTTGGCCCTGGGAAAGGGTGTTCATTGACTTTTCCATGAAGGAGTTCTGGCTGATGTCCTTCTCCATGCCACCTGGGGAAAGACCAGCTCTGTGGGGCCTTTACCCCTCCCTTGTACATAGTGCCACGGGTGCATCTTGACCCAGTTCTTGTTCCCTGGACCCAATCTTATTCATCTTTGTTACCTTTAACCGCCAGTTCTCCTTGCCCAGCATGCAGCCCTGGGATGACCACCGGCTGAGCGGTCATCAGTTAATGTTTGTTGAATGACTGATTGGGTTTTTGTGGCCTCTGAGAGGTAAATGAAAGGCAGCCAAAGCCATGGGAATAATTATCTTGCTCAAAAGACACACTTGTTAGTTCCAGGCCAAGTCTTAGAACTGATTCCAGCGAGGTTGCTTTTTCTGCCCCTCTCTTCTGTCCCCTCTGGAACTGCAGCCAGAGGAACCGCAGTGAGAGTCCAGACTAATAAGTTTCCTCTGCACATGTCCTGTTTGCCCATGGCATGGCATGCTGATTCTTGTCAACAAAGAGGAAGTGCCAGTGTGGCCTCTTTGGTGACTCTTCAGCATATCCTTTCCACATGTTGCCCCAAGGAGAGGGACTGCGGAGCATGTGCGGGCTTGGGCACAGGGTGGAGGGCTGCAGGACCGTTGCCAGGAGCCTCCCCTGTATCATTACAGCGGGTAAATGGTTAACCCAAGGGAGGATTCTTCTTGGTCCCTCCTCCTCTGCAGGGCCTTCACCTTTAATCACTGTGAGGTCCCCCTAAGGTAGAGCACCACCGTAGGGGATAAATGCCCCCTTCCCTTCTGCCGCAGCTTCTCAGATGGCGAGGGACCATAGATTAGGAAGCAGGGACATCGGCAGGAAAGGAAGGGCAGAGATGACCCTTGACTGCATTATGCATGAGACATTTTGGATTGCCCACAGCAGACAGGGCTCCAGCTTCTTGCTGCTGCTCTTCCTACACTACCTCTGGCCCCAGGAACCTGCAGCCCCCACTGCCTGAGACAAATCCTCTAGTTTTTATAGCTGTGCCTGTCCCCGTCCGCCACACGTGTCTTGTTCCTGTAGCTCAGTAGCTTGCAGTTCACCCCTCTGCATTTAATCAAGTTTGGGGAGACCTAGTCCCTTCATTTATTCGGACGCCTTTCTCCATCCCTTACCCTCACCTCCTCCGTGCCTATCACACTGGCACGTTCCCTGTGTCTCCCGGCGCCAGCTGGCCACGAGCAGAATGGCATCTCCATTCATGTGTGCGAGTGTGGTGCTGGCCTTAGGGTGCTTAGGGCAATGTGAATCAAGGCTGTGCGGCCACGCCTCCATGGAGCTTGGACCAGTTCTTGGAAGACTTAGAGCTTCTTTGGTTTCATACTTCATTCATCCCCAAACCCCAAGAGCTGACTGTGTGGATCCAGGGTTACCTCTGAGCATGAGACCACAAACCCTCCCAAAGAAGCGCAGCGCAGTGTCAAGCAGCTTTGAACATGGACGAATATACAAGGAGCTACCCCAAAGCCTGGGCCTACATCCTCAGCCTTCCCTTCCCACCCCCTGAAGCAAGCAGGAATAGTGGAACTCAGGCCGTGGGAGACCGAGGAGGAAGAAGGAAGGGGTGGCTATTGCTAGCTTTGGCTAATGGGAAATCGGCGTGTGCTGGACCTTGGAACAGACCACAGAATTCCACCCTGCGAAGCCATCGGTGGTCAGACCAGATCTTGCTATCTCCTCAGTTTGATCTCAGCTCTTGTTGACTCTTGGGAGGTCCGTTCATTGTGCGATCGACTTTAAAGAACTATTTTATTTCCAATGCAGACACAGCCCTTGACGTAGCAGTCAAAAACAGCACCCCCGGGAGACACATGGCTATGAAGTGTTTGGGTATGTAACCTGTCTGCCTGTACGGAAGGCTTGGTCCTACTGCTCTTTATGCCCCTCACATGGGTGTCTCCCTTCCCCTGGAGCTCAGGCTTCAGGAAGCACTGGAGGTCAGCCAGGACAGGAGGTCTTTTCTGCTTTGGGATAGGGAGCGATGGCCATGTTTCACCCAACAAGAGTTTCTTTGAGAGCGCCACTCCCTGCCCCCCACTCTGAAGATGGAAGTCAAATTTTGGGACTCTGCTGTGCAGAGCAGAGAGGTCACTGGGCTCTAATGCATTTACCATTGACTGCCCCTCTTGTAGTGCGTCTATTAGTGAGTAATTTGATTTGTACCTATTCATTTGCAGTCCCTGCAGGAGCCTGGAGCTGGCCCCTGGTATAATTGGTGCTGTCTCTATTTTTACATCATTAGATTAGCCCCGACTCCTGGCCACTTGTTGTCTGCGCTTGTCTGTCCATTTATACAACCTAATGTAACACAAAATTCATTACTGATCACATTACTTTCAACTCTGAAGCCAGCCTTGTGATAAACATTTGGTTAACCCCTTCTTACCCACGGGAAGGCTGGCAGAACAAATGCACTTCTGCTCACCGGGCAAATCAATATCTTAATCCACCGAATTGGACTGGCATTTCTAGATTTGTCATCCTCCTGGAGGAGCAAATGGCGAGGCTCATCCGAGCCAGCGGAATTGAATGATGAATAGGGCCCGGCACCAGCAGCCTGTCTGAGACCAGCACAAAGGCGGAGCACATCAGCCCAGCCTGGGCCGCAGTCAGGGAAGGGTGGCACCACTGTAGTTAACTAAGACAACCCCCCCTACACACACACACACACACACACACACACACACCCGCCATGGCGCAGGCGCACAGTCTTTGCAGCACAGGCTGAGACCATGACGGGGGCCACAGAGGCCTCATCCTGATGAGTCTCTTTTGTCAGACTTAGCGCTGGACCACTGGACAGGGAGTTGGGTCCGTTTCCTTAAAACTTTACTCTTCAGTGGAGAAGCTACCAAGCACGGGGTCCTAACCTAAATGCCACCAAGGAATTAAATTACCTACCAAGGCCTAGCTTGTATTTGGCAACACATACAAAAGGACTAGGACTGGTAGGTTCCTACCCATCCTCCGGGAGAGTGCTGACCAGCCCACAGATGCTACAAGTGCCTGTGCATGGTTGAAGCTGCCTGTGAGCAGTTAGTTAGTGAGCCTTGAGTATGGGCGCAAACCAAGAGTCTTAAAGGGACCTCAGCACAGTTTGGTTTAAATCTAAAAGATTCCATACAGCCCCAACCCTTATCAGCCCCTCCCCAACTTCCACTTGTCTCTGGGTCGCACCCACACCCACAACAAGTCATTAACTCACAGAGCAGTTTGTTTCAAAGGGAAAAAATACCTCCACTTATTAAGAAATGCTCATAAAGCCACACCGTAATGATTAGAAATATCAGCGCGGAGGAAATAGAATGGAGCCCATTACCATGAAAGTAATAAATCCCTGAGTAAAAAGGCACCATAAACTGAAGATGCTCGGGTGGGAAGGGAAGCTGGGGGAGCAGCATCCCCGGAGCCCTCTGCTTGGCTGTAGGGAGGTCCCAAGCAGGAGCCTGGGAAGGAAGATGCCCTGGGGGTGTGGTTTTGAACGGGCAATCTTCCTCAGATCCTGCTGTCCCTGCTGTTCTGAGCACTTAGATGAAGGCCCAAGGCATTCCTTTCATGGCTCAGACACCTCTCTCTCTCTCTCTCTCTCTCTCTCTCTCTCTCGCTCTCACTCTCGCTCTCGCTCTCATCTGGTAGACTGATGTCCCTTTGCGTATGAGCCGGGTAGGGGCATCCCCATGCAAGGACCTGCCTCACCCTGCCCTGGGCCTTAGGGCCACTGTGCAAGGTGGCAGGACCTCTTGTCACAGCACCTCCAGAATCAGCACTCTCAAGCGCTGCCTGTCATATGCGGCTACAAAGAAGGGATTCCCTTAGTGCAGTGTGAGAGGACACCCCGTGTCTCCCAGTGGAAGTAAGCCAGGCTTCCTCCTCAGGGCTGGGGAAGAGCCTCACAGGAGGAATGGTGACAGTCACCTCCCCCGCCCACCAGCTCCCAGAGTGGATTACACACTGTAGTCACAGCCTTCAGTGTAGTGTGGGTAGACAGCGTGATCACATGCCCACTGCTGGCCCCACCCGTGCGTTCTAGAAAGTAGATGAGAGAACACATACCTGTAGTTCAATCTGTGGTTCATAAGGGCCCACACCTGTAGTTCAAGCTACTCAAGAGGCTGAGGTGGAAAGAGCTCTCAAACTGAGGCGCTCAAGACTAGCTTGTAGAACACAATAGAACCTGTGGCAACAGAAGGAAAGGAGGGAGTGAAGGAAGGAAACAGAGAGGGAAAGACAGAAGAATAAAGACAAACAGATGGGGGATGGGCAGGTCTTTGCCCTCTCAGACTAGGGCAGGCCAGCCACAGGAAAGAGGGCTGGTCCGCTGGTGGAACAAGAAACTGATTTCTTAGCCCTGATGGAAGGGGGGTAAACACGTCTTACCGAACCCTTCCGCCACGTTGTAGAGCATTAATTACACTTGGACATTTCAATGAGAACCAGATGTGGCTCTAGTCCCCACCGGTCAGCAGTGTTCAAAGCGTAGCATCTCTCCCGTGGGCTGCGGCTCTGTGCTATCTCATAAGGCTGGAGGCTAGCTCATCTGCCAGGGTCCTCCAGGCCTGGGAGCTACACTTGAAGAGAAGGGCAGATTGGCACCAGCTGCTGCGCGCCTGGTTCCCACGGAGTGTCTCCTTTTCAGGACTGTGTGGGACGGGACACACATGTCCAGTTTATGAGACTCCTTCTAGCCTCCCCCCCCCCCCCCAGTTAGGACCCACACAACAAAGTCATGCACAGGGCCCGGCTTCTCCATCCCCAAAGATATGTCCCTCTGCTGCCCAACTCTTGAGTCAACCTTAAATGGTGTCTGCCACGGCTCAGAACCTGGGCGAGAGAAGCAGAAGTGATTTCTAGCTCAGGTCCTTACTCCGCCTAAGGTGCCAGGTGTCTAAGGTACTCTCCTGAGAGCCTTACACACACCCCACGACACCGCTAGAGCACACTGTCCCCTCGCCATCTGCAAATGCAGGTGACTTTCCCAGGTTATTCTGCACTCTGTGACAGCACTAGGGTCAGAGCAGTGTCCCACCCATAACCCTCTCTCTCCTCGTGGCTCTGTCGGGAACTCAGTCGGGGATAACTGAAGCTTGGCTTTAGCCAGTCACCAATGCCTCCAGCGGGGAAGTGTGGGCCGGTTCAACTTCGCCTTTTCTGTTCCCTTGTAGTCTGTGACAGAAGAGTTCCTTTAATATGCTGGGTGCTGGGAAGGTCACTGAGTATTGAGGGGTGTGGCATGGGTTACTGGTCTTTCTATCCTATCCTTGGACGCTAAGACTTAGGGGGATTCAGATGGTGTGAGTTTCCTGGCAGTGGGGTACTGCAACCCTGATGGTACAAGACCCCATGCGTGGGAGAGTAGGCTCTGGCCCCCACGCAGATCAGTGCTTCTCTTGGCCAGACCCCACCCACCAACCTGATGTTGCTCTTCAAGAGATGTGGAACCACCCTGTAATCAGCTCTGCCCAGAACTCCAGTGCCCCTCTCCCCCCCAAAACACACACATGCCTACACAGACACATTTGGTCAGCTCTAGCAGAGAGACTAGAGACCATGTGGCCACGGGACAAGACAGGCCTCCTTCTGAGAGCTCCTCCCCTCCCCAGCTTCTCTTCCTCCATGTCACACGCCTGCTTTCATTCTCCTTCCTCTGCGTTTCTAATGTAGCCCTCTCCTGTCACCACACACCCCTCTTCCGTGGGCCCACCAGGGCTTCAGCTGTCTGGCCTGCCTCCAGGCCCCTATGCAGTGGGGTTGCTACCACACTGGCCTGCTGTTGAGAACCGAATTCCCGGGGGCTCTTTGCCAGGTTTCTGAGTGGACACTTAAAGCAGAACTCTGCTGGTCCATCTGTCTCCCTAAACATTGCCCCCTCCTAGTACTGGCCCCCACTATCACTGTCTAAAGGCTGTGGGTACCCAGAAGCATCTGAGTTCTCTTGGGCCTCAGGTCTCTCCGCAGTAGTAGCTGAGACTCTTAGTCACCAGGCATGGCCCTGTGGCCAAGGCTCCCTGAGCTGAAAACACCTGAGATAGGCCTTCACCACTGGTGGCTGATGACTGGGGGACAGGATAGACCATAGAGTCTAAGCCTCATTCTCTCTTGATGGTCTGTGTCTCAGTGTGCATCTGAGTCAGGGCAAAGCTGAGCAAAGAGAAAGGCAGGTATGTTCATGGGAGGCCTGAGGGTTGCCCTGGCCAGGAAAGAGACTAATGTTGCCCCAGGCGGCTGCACTCTGAAAGCACTCACGGCGCCAGGCTGTGTGTGTTGTAAGACACCAGAAGACTGGCGTCAGCCAGCCAGGGATCTGGGTTCAGACATAGGTGTTAAGCCCCAGAGATAAGAGCAGGCCAGAGCTAGCCCTGCTTTTCATCTCCCAACCAGGATTCTTGTGATCTGAATAGACGGAGCCTTTTCAACCTTAGCCCTGCAGCTTCACCAAGGCCAGCCAGGCAAGGTCCCAAAGACCCTGCTGGAGGAGTAAGGTGACTCCTGTCTCAGTCTCCACTAGCCTCAGCTTCCATCCTTTCCAGACCTCACCAGGATGGGAAGCCCTTTGACTGTTGGCATCTTTGTAAGTGTAGAAGCATGACGGGAAGGAAGGTTGGAGAGGGCACAGAGGAAGGTCTGGAGGGGCCAGGCAGCCTTCAGCTAAGTGTAAAGGAAAGAAAGCTGTGGCCTCCATCTAGGCTGCTTCCTTCAGCTGTTCTACTTTAACACGGGCCCTGGGGGCTGAGGCTGGCTCCAGACGAGGGTGTGGCCTCTGATGGTGCTGTCACAGTTAGCAACTGTCTCAGCCAACACCACACCATCTGTGTTCCCCCCTGAACAAGCCTCTACCTCCTCAGTCATCCTCCAACAGCGATCGACAGGCCCTGAGCTGGATGAGACAACCCCTCACCATGTCTGCCAGGTCCAGTCACTTCCCAGGTGACATCAAGACCATCGGTCCAGGTCTCAGCCCCAGGAAGCATTCAGGCCTCCCATCTTCCCTTGTGTGTGTCGCTATCTCTCTCTCTCTCTCTCTCTCTCTCTCTCTCTCTCTCTCTCTCTCTCTCTTTCTGTGCTGTCTTGCCTAGCTAGTTCTAGCCCCTGTGAGCAAGCTTCTTGCTAACAAAATGGCTTGCTTGAGACAGACCCCATCTGAACTTGTATCTATCCTGTGGTTGTCTGGTCCCCTCACTTTTATCCCTTCAAGGGGAGATGCTGGTCAGTCTGACTTCTTAATGAGGGGACGCCCCTTCCCCCCACCCAACACACACCTGCCTCTCCACCCAAGAACCCTCAAGCAAAAGGAACTGAGAACTGTTTGGTTTTTTTTACAAATCTTTTCTTGCGCTGGGCAAGACAGGGGCACTTGGCTGGCCTCTCTATATCGCTGCCCTGAGCTCCCACCAAGCCCACCCCAGGCAGGGGGTCTTTACCACAGCCCCCACTAAAGTGGAGAGCTGGGAGGTAGACGTAGGAGGGAAATCAATGCATGTCAACAGGGCTGGGAATTTATTCTCCATCTTGGGAGAGGGTGTTTGGAAGGGGGCAAGGAAGGAAATGAAAAGCTGTAAACACGAATCCACCGTCTTCCTCCCTGCACCATTTCTTGATTAAAAAGAATCTCTGCCCAGACTCCAGTGGAGGCAGAACTGGTGGGGGCTTGGGTGGCAGGGCCACCTGCAGGGGGAGGAGGCTGGAGAGGGCCCTCGAGTCCTGGGGATAATCGCAGTGACTGATTCGATTGCAGCAATAATAGTAACTCACATTTGCTGACTGGAGGCTCTGAGCACTTTGTGCTGTGCTGTACATACATTATTTAATTTCATTCCTATGGCCAGGCTCTGAAGCAGACATTGCTGTCCTTATGCTCAGGAACCCAGGGCACCTGCCCAAAGTCGCCAGGAAGCAGGTGGCCAGAGCCTCTGCTCTTAACAGCCTCCCTGGACTGCTTCCTCCATCCCAGGTAGAAGAGCGGCCCACCTGCCTTTCTTCTCTGGCTGAAGTTCTGAGTCAGCCGCTTAGGGAAGGCTTACCCCTCTTCGCCACAGGAAGTGGCTATAGTCTCAGCAGGGGCAGACTCCTCCCATCAGATCTAATCCCACTCCTACTGGGCAGCCTGGGTGGTTAGTTTAGGGCCTCGGGTACGTGGCTACAGCCAGGACCTAATAAAAGTGCTCTGCTAATCCCTGTAATGAGCAGCATCTTGGCACAGAGGCTGACTCCCAGGGCATGCAGTAGCTGGGGCCGCCGATCCTTTTGCGGTGGTGGAAGTCCCAGGACTGCCCCAAGGCTGAGGCTGGGCCCCGGGGTACCCTCTTCCAAACACACACAGCACTGCCCTTGCAGGTCCAAGGGGATTCTTCTGGGTCCTGGAGACTTGGGCTCCCTACAACGCTGCACCAGCCAGGAGCCCTCCAAGGCTCAGACCCAAAGAATGCCCAGCCCATTGCAGAATTCACTTTGGCCTTCTGCCAGAGCCCTCCTCTCACTAAGGCTGCCACAGCTGTGCCAAGTCTCACTAAGGCCTAGTGTCCTCTGTGTCCTCCTCCCTCTCTAGAGAATGGGGAGCCAGACCTCACGTTGCTCAGTACAAGTAGCTGATGTGTGAAAAGTCATGCCATCACCCCTAAAACCCCATCACTCGTCGGCATCCACACAGAGCCATGGCACGGCGACTCATGCTTGGCCAAGTGGCCGTACCCACAGTGTAGGATGAGGATCAGGGGCCACTGTGCCGGTCTCCTCACGGAGAGTGAGCACGGCCCCTCTTTGTGTGTAACCCGGGCTGGTGCTCCCAGGTAACTGGAGTCCTTCTGAGAGGCTAGCCACCTCTCTTTGCCCTGAGACAAGCACCATGTGGAATGGGGGGTGGGGTGGGGGTGACATACAGACAAGGCCTCCTCCTCTTTAGGCCTATTTATTTTGTGAGAGCAGAGGCCTCCCCCTTCTCCTTGTTGCCTCTGCTGTCCTCTCCTGTCCCCTGAGGCCTGCCCATCCCAGCCTGTGCCATCGGGAATCAGCTACAGTAACAAGCTTGTTTTCTGGCAAGACCAGTAGGGAATGGGGAATGTGGGCAGTAGTGGGCATTGGAGTCTGGCATCCTGTGGCCTGCCCCAGTGCCAGTTCTCCCTCTAGGGTGAACCCAGGGCCCATGGCTTCCCGTTTGTTCTTGGTGTTGCTATATGCAAGACAAGGCTGTCACTCCTACCTTCCAGAGTCACCAAGTCCCTGGAGAATATGAGGGCACAATCTGAGTCCAAGCATGGGGGAGGGGGGAGTGTGAGGGGTGGCAAGCTTTCTTATAGCCAACCTTCCCATGAGCCAGACTCCGTGCTGCTGGGGGAGCCTCTCTAGCTGCCTGGCCCTGGCCAGTTACTGCTAGGCTTCACTGGGAGTCTACATACACTGCAGGAAAAACTGCTGAGAGCTGGGGAGGATGGGGAGGGGGTAGGGGTTGAGCCAAAACCAGGCCACTAAGTCAAATGTCCAGGATTCCCCCAGAAAACTCTTCAGCCTGCCTCCTTCCTCTTCCTCTCCCAGCAACCCCCACCTGCATGGGGCCCCATCTGGCACTGCATGGGCCTAGGTCCCTGTGTGTCCCCTTGTAGAAGCTATTGTATTATGCTTACTGTGTGACTCCTCTTCCCTCACCCGGTACTGAAAGATTCACAACACCTCTACCTCTGGGCCCGTCCCCCCATGACTGGTCAGTCTCCCGCCGCCTCACGTGCATGTCAGTGTCCTGGACAGCAGAACCCCTCTGCGAGACCGCCCTCCTCCCGTGTGCCACCCCCGCACCTCCCTCCACCCTCTCCTTCTGCTTGTGGAGATCAGTGTTCTTCTGGATCATTGTCCGTATCTCTCAAAGGAGAAAAAGAAAAAGATTCCTCAATGCTTTTCTTTTCAAAAGGGAAAAAAAAAGGAAAAAAAAAACAATGCCAACAGCCCAGCGTCCGCGAACAACCCAACAGTAACAAAGCATGCGTTCGGGATGGAGGAAGGTAAGGCCACATGTTCCCGCTCGCCGCTTGCTCCTAGGGCTGGGTGGGGTGATTCAAAGCGGGGTTCCAGCGTACATCCACCCCTCCTCCACGTTCACTTCCCACACACTGTCACTCTTGCGTCTTTGGAGGGACAAAGAGAGCTCTGGTTTGACCTCAGGGACGTAGGAGAGCGCCCCCAGAGACTGTCCCAGAACCAGCCAAGCCCCCAGTCCATGCTGGAGAAAGGCCCCATCTCTCCCTATCACATCGTTCATTCCAGAAGTTATCTTTCTGCAAAAGCTGGGAATTTCAGTCCTGGGAGTTGTGACTGGGGAAGCAGAGATGAGGCCCACACTCCCTGCCAGGGCCTGTCCTCGGTGGGCGGGGGTGATGCACTTGGATGCGGTCAGGGGACCTAGCTGGAGTTCAGTAGGCCTAGGGGCTCTGCGGTGCACATCTCGGTTCACAAAGGAATGGACCCCCATAGACAACTTAGAGAGATGAGCGGGCACTGGGTCCCAGTGGCCTCGGGCTGCCCAGACACGCTCCTCATTCAAACAGAAAACACCAGTGAGACCTCCCTGGGGTGTCAGGCTGCGCACAGCCATTCGCTAGTGCCAGGGAGTTTATGCCTTAGGGACCCTGAAGAGTCAGTGGCAATCTTTAAGTGAAGGAATAACAAGATGTAGAGTGTCCTGGCTTTCGGTGGATACGTATGGAGATCCGGGGACCCAGTGACCAGTTCAAACTAGCCTGGGCAATACTGAAAGGAGACAAAGTCAGCAGAATCTTAGGTGCCCCAGATGTGGAGGCAAGGAGGAAGTTGGCCAGGCCCTCTCTCTCCCAGGCCTAAATAACAAAGAGAAAGCTTGAGCCAGGCAGTTGAGCCATGCCTGGCCTCCAAGGGAGCAAATCCATCTTGTAACCCTCTGGCAGTTGTCCCTACACTGTCATTTGACGGATGGGGTGCCTTCATGCAAACTCCTGTGGTGGGGTCACCAAGGTGTTGCCTTGGCCTACACCAAGGGTCAGTGGGTTGCCGGGCTTGGGCCTGCGCTGTGGACTCCTCAGCTTCCTTTTGGCAGTGTGGATATGTTGCACTTTGTATCAAGCCTATTGGGGCTCTCCCTCTGCTCGGCAAAGGAGCTATCCTTCCCTTCCTGATGGTCTCTCCTGCTCCTTTATCTGGGACCCGCTTCTTTGGGCCTGCATCCATCCCATCTGTATCCTGAGGAGGCCCCTGCCTTTCTCGCTACTGCCTGCTTCTCTCTGCCCTTCTGGCCCTGCTGTCAGCGCCCCCTAGTGCCAGGATGGCTGCGCAGGAGGGCATGGGCCTCTAAAAGCTACCTGGGTCCTTGGGTTTCTCTGGGAAATTCTGGGCTTGCTTGTGGGGAAAACGGAGAGGAGGAGGAGCTCTCCTGGAGTCTGCTGCTTGCTCACTAATGCTCAGGGCCTTCCCTTGGCTCTCCAGCGCTGCCCCTCTAGTGGCACAATGGCTGTATCCCGTATGAAGGCGAACCTGAAAGCCCATCAGGAGGAAAAGATCTGAGGAGCCCCCCTCCTCATCTTTCTGCGCATACAGAGCTATTTCATGGCTTTCCCAGGACCAAGGCCTCATAGGAAGCCAGCATCCAGCTCCTAGCCTGTGTCCCCGCCACCCCCCCCGCCCCCTTACTTACAGGGCTCACAACCTGATGGGAATCTCTAATATCCTGGTGTGCTCATCTAGCCTGGGCTCAGGTCCAGACATGACTGGCATAGTTACCATTTCCCTGTCCCATTTTGTGGCTGCTGCTGCTACTGCTGCTGCTGCTGCTGGGCAGCCCAGCTTGGACTGTAGTGTGTCTTCAGAGTGTGTGAGTAGCTGGCTGGTGATGGCCAACCCAGTGGAGGCCATGACCCCTCACTCCCTAACCAAAGCCAGCTGTGCTGCATGTCAATGGCGGCAGGGGCCTGGGGCGGCTGCAGCCTGGATCCCGGGCTCTGAAACCATATCAGAGGAGTGTATTGCTGGCTGTACCTCGATGTTTCGAGTAACTGCTTTGAGATACTACACTCGTGAGACAGACAAGCAAAACTCCATAGTCGCAGGCTTCGGGGGAAGAAGTTGAGCTGTAGGGTCCATCTGAGCTTGGAAAAGACTCCAGAAACTGTCTGTGCACATGCTCGCCACCAGTGAAGAGGAACTGATCACCCTGAGAAAACCAATGAATAAATCCAAGGAGCAGGGAGTCCTATTCCCAGCCCTCTGCCTGCCCCAGTTACTGTCTTGGATGAAGAGATGGTGGGACAGTTAAAGTTACCATAGCTAAGCAAGATAGGTCTGTGTGCTGTTTCCAGAAGAGCGATGTGGAGGTACAGGGACTAGGACAGCAGAACCTTGCTTCTCTACAGATCAACTCAGCACATCCATTCTATGGGTCGCCAGGAGACTTTGGGCAAGCTAAGAGGAAATATTCATGCAAGGAGAGGACCCTCTCTCCAGTAGAATAGGTTCCCCCCAAGAGAAGGCATATACTTTCTAGAAGCTCAAGACTGGCTAGCAGGGAGCTTTTGTAGGTGAGAGTAAGGGAACAATGGATGGCCAAGCTGGGACGGAGCTCTGGGGACAGGTCAGCAAGGAGAGCGACAGATCTGGTAGGCAGGCATCTCTTCTCCTGACCTAGCTTCTGCCCACCTGCTGATCCTGGATCGCATGCACTGAGGAACTGGAGGAGAACACTGGCCAAGCAGGAGTGCAGGTGCTAGCTAACCACAAGTAACAGAGCCATCCACACAGGACGGCAGGGGATTATACTCCTGCCCTCAAGGCTTCCCCACAGTGATAGAGACGCCCAAGTCAAAAGCTGGAGTCTGATAGCCAAGGGCGCTTCTTCTGAGTGAGCCTCCCTGTGAGCTGAGTTGCCACTTGGTCCATATGGCAGGCAGGCAGGTGGGCATGAGCCTCCCTGCAAAAGAGTATGAATGGACCCACAGTGGGGCTTCATGGTGAGCAGCCAAGCCCAGGGTGTGCCCCCACCTCCAGCCCACTCTGATTAAGCCTGCACCTCTCCTCTGTTTTGCAGAACTTCAGCGAGAGGGAAGCATCGAGACTCTGAGTAACAGCTCAGGCTCCACCAGTGGCAGCATCCCAAGGAACTTTGATGGCTACCGATCTCCGCTCCCTACCAACGAGAGCCAGCCGCTCAGCCTCTTCCCCACTGGCTTCCCATAGGCACCAGCCACCTGCTTCTGACTGGCTGAGGGACAGGGAGAAGCACCCCACCCCACCCTACCTTCTTCCTCCCACCCCACCCCATCCCCGCACGCCTCTGGTCCTACCCTTCTAAGTCTCTGCTCCTCTTTCATCAACCCCACCTTCCCTAAGCTTAGCGACGACGGCTGCTCATCCTCTCTGGACAAAAAGAGACTTCCAGAACTGCTCAGCACACCCTGACCTCAGCCACTCCTGTCATTGGGGGCTGTGGCTAAGAGACTGCAGAAACTCGGTCCCTTCTCTCTTTGCACATAATGTCCCGCATCGGATCCGCTTTTGTATTTTTTAACTGTACCCACAGGGGGACTGGAACAGTGGCCAGATCGTAGGGCCGGGTGAGGAGGAGTTGAATGGTCCAGCCAGGTATTTTGGTGGACAATGTCAGCCCTAACCCACTTCAGGCTATGATGCACACTGCCCCCAGGTATCCCTGCTCAGTTCCCTCCCAAGACAGGAGCGAACTGAAACCCAGAGTGATAGGGAAGGAAGAAGGAAAGAGGCTCCCTTTGCCCCTTGCTTCCCTGTTGGCTCATGGGGAGAATTTGTCTGTCTTATCTTTGAGCCCTTGTACCCTGGTCCTGTACTGTTGAGTGAAGGAAACCGTGGTTACTGAGGCCATATCAAAAGTGCACGTCTTGTCCAATAAATCACGCTGCAATTGGTGTCCATTCCTGAGTTGCTGGGGTCAGAGTCCTCTCCAAACACTGAGGAGAGTCCTATGGGTCAGACTATGGGCAACTGCTCCCAACACCCACACCCACACTGTATGTACAAGGGAGCCCATGTTAGGAAGGAAAGGGGAGGAAAACCTTCACGCTGGACGTTAGGTGGGGCTTGACTGAAGTTCAGCCTCACGACTCTTGCCTGTTACCAGAGCCTATGATTTGTGGAGGCGCCAAGCTTGGGCCTCCCCACAAGTGGACATAGAGGGCAATCTAGCCCCTGGTGTGTCCTGGGTTGCTCTGGAATAAGAGCTTGCCCTTGCCTGTGACCTTGTCCTAGGGCACTTGGGAATCACCTCCCTCTCAAGCTCAGGAGATGAGAGCTTGTGAACTAGAGTAGGGTGTGTTGTGGAAGTTGGCTAAGATCTCAGATAGCAAGCTTTTGGGTTTTGTTGTTGTTTTGTTTTGGAGACCAGGTTTCGGGTAGCTCACTATGTAGTCAAGGATAGCCCTGATCTTCCTGCCTCGGCTTCTCAAGAGCTGGAATCGCAGACCTTTGCCACCATACCCGACCTGAATTCTTGTTTCTATTCCCTCCTCCTGTTCTGGACCAGCACAGTGGCAGTGCCCGGGAGCAACCGAGAAGTGTGGTGAATGGGAAAGAGGCTGATACAGTTCTAGCCCCTCTGCCGTCTCCCATACCTGAGGCCCAGGGAAGGCCTTGAAGGAAACCCGCTGAGCCAGGTGTGCTTTAGGATGAAGGATTTTAATGGAAGAATTGGATTCACAGATGAGCAGCCTTCCCATCCAACCATCTGGTCAGAGCTGGGGCAGCTTCTGGGCCCCTGGCCTCTCCATATTACCCATCCCACCCCTGGTACCTGAAGAGAAATGTAGTATTCAGTCACCTCCACCAAATCAATGGGGAGAAGACACAAATCACTCTGTGTCTTCTGTCCGGGCTCCTGAGGGCTTAAAAGCCCCTTATCAGACGGGAGCTTGCTGGGAACACAAGGCCTAGGCCCAGCAAGCTGGGACTCCACAGAAGAGCAGCTTTTCCCCATTTGGACAACTTTCGACATGGATGTGCCTGGCACAGCCCCCATCCCCAGCTGGAGCACCCTTTTAGTCGGCAGAGGACAGAAAGGGGGTGCCGTAGGCTGCTCGCGCATACAGCTGGTGGCTTGGCTGCCCGGGCTTGGGCACTGACGCTCTAGAAAGCATGACCCCTCTGCACCCACCCTTGGGCACATGGATGGGACATTGCTGCCAGGAACTCTCAGCCATGCAGGGGACCTGCCCACCCTGGTCCGGCCCTTCCCTTTACAGTGGGGGGTGGGGAAACAGATGTGGCCTCCTCCAGTCAGGGAAAGCGGTGGGTGTATGCGGGACTGGGACTTGCGGCTGAGCTTGCAGGACAATCTGGTTATTCATCTGCTTGCAGTCAGGGCAACTAGAAGTAAGTGGGGGAGGGGGAGGATCAGAGAGCCCAGATAAGCTGGCCCCACAGCGGCTGCCTTTGGAGTTCAGGTTATCTGAAAGGCCCAGGGCCTGGCCTCCAGCTAATTGGGAAGGTTAGGGACCCAGCCACAGCCTGTAATCAGCTGAAGGTGAGAGCAGGACAGGCAGGGGACCTGACTGCCACTAACCCTAGAGCAGCCAGCTTCTTATCCTCGACAGATAACATCCAAAACAACCTCCACCTCCTCATTGCAACCCCCCCCCCACCATGATAGCATCACTCAGAAGGTCATCAGTACAGGAATCTAATTGTGCCCAGGCCAGGTGACCTTGAGGAAGGCAAGTGACCTCCCCATTCTCACGGCACTGCCTCCCCATTGGGCTCCCTCTCTCAATTTGACGGAAGAAAAATATCTTCTTGGTCTGCAAAGAGGCTGCTGGGAACTGGAATGGCAACTCACACGGCAGGAGGGCACTGTCTGCGAGGGATTCAGTAAGAGGCCCAGTGGTCCAAGGGCAAAATCACACACAAGCACAGACGTCAGGGCCAGCTCTGCCAGGGGCATGCAGAAGCCAGACCAGACAGCCACAAGACTACAACTGAGGGTAATTTCTCAGTGCGCTCTTCTGATTTTTACAAGTTACAAACTGTAAACCCAAAGATGTCACCCACCCTCTTTTTGCGATGGCAAGCCTGAGCCCCAAGAAGGGCAGGGCCTCTTGCAAGGTCATGGGTTCACACAGCTAGTCAGCTGACCTCTGTCTGCACCTTGCTGCCCCTCGTGCCCTGGCCAGTTCCCATACAGCCACCTGGATCCTAGCTGACCTCTCCGCCCAGTGCCCCTCAGACAATCCCAGACCCATCTCACTGAATCCTGGGTCCTAGCTCCTCAAGCTTTCAGCTGAAGCTCCTGGCTTTCTTTGAAGCTGCTTCCGGGTTACCCATCTTTCCCCCACCCCACGTCCTGCAGATCTGCCCCTAAAATCCAGAGCCCAGTGGAAGTCTTGGAATGCCAGTGTGGCTTTCCTCTCGGTTGCACAACAGCAATGCCTTCCCAAGGAGTGGATTTAGGGTCTGAGCACACGCATGCTCTTTTGAGGTTTCAGGGTTCCATTCTAGCTTTTCCACCTGGAGCTGTGACCTTAGGAAGGTTACCTGCAGCTCTAGGCTTCGGGGTTCTCATCTGTTGGAGAGGGACTCGGAAGAACTCAGCAGGGGCAGCATGGCTCATGTAAAGGAGACCTTGCCTGTCAGAAAGGCAAAAGGGTGTTCAGAAGCTGCAATCCAGGGAGCTCACTGGTGGGAACAGGACTGCAGGGGCAGAGCAGATTGTAACCGCGCTGTTCCTCAGGTGCCCCAGGGAACCCTGCTCCCTCCTGGTGCAGGCCTAAGCAAAGCAGCCTGTTGAGTGCCCACCGACCAACGCCCCGCTGTTGCAGGTGGGCCGGTCCTAGGAGCCCTTCTCAAACCGGTTCACTCTCCCGAGGTCCCAAACACCCACGTTTAGGCTCAAGTTCAAGACTCACACCTCAATCTTGCAGCCCTGTGTATACCAAGAGCCACAGTTGCACTTGGTCGAATCAAGGCTCAGGGTAGCGAGTAGTTAGCACCTGGGATTCCTAAAACTCTGGGGAAAGTCGTCCAAAATCCACGAGGACACAACCTAGGTTCCTAACCACGTGATCTCTCAAAAGGCAGGGAGATGTCGTCCCCCACACCCTAACTCACGGTGCAACGTGTACCCCGGGCAGAGGCAGCCTAGCCAGGCCTCGTCTTCACATCAACGTGACAGACAGGGACTGGGCCACACAGTCGGTAACTGTTACAATGCTAAAGCCTGGTGAGGAAATGGCCCCAGACTAGGGCCATACCATGACCAGGAAGAGGGTCGGGCAGCCCACTCCTCCCGTGTCGTCTGCCGCACCCCAGCCTGTTGGCCAGACCCTGCGCTGGGTAATTGGGACGAGAGAGGCGACCGATGAGCTGCGGCTCCAGGGAGGCTGCGCGCCTGTCAGTCGTAATTTGTTTAAGTGGACGGGACAGGCTGGGCCGCCGCGGGCTGGGGTCACCGAGGCCGCGGCCCCCAGCCTGGCCAGACCCGGGACCGCGGGGGAGCCCAGCCCCACTGCTTAACCGGGCTAGCTGGCGCCAAGGCTCCGGGAGGCGCGGGTCCGGTGGAGAAGCTGTGGAAGAGAGCACGGATGCGCCTACTGTCTCCCCCGACCACTTTTCCTAAGCATAGGGCCACACTTGTCACCCCAGCTTTGCCCAGGCACATTCATTTGCCAAGACGCGCTTAGCACCCAATTACTGGCGCTCACGTTCCCCTCGCTCAACTCTGCCACAGGACCACACATCCTCCATCAGTCCCGCATTCACTCCGCGCGGGCTCAGACAAATCCACTCCGGGTAGTGCATGCAGATACCCACAGGTGTTGTGGACGAATCTTTTTCCACCTACACACAGGGACCTATTCGATTTTTAGGATCAACTCAGAAGAGAGGTCTTTTTCTTGTCTCTTGATCATGTTCAATTATTACCGGGCCAATGGAACCAACAACAACAACAACAAAAAAAAAAAAAAAAAAAAAAAGGCGGGGAGGCGGCAGCTCTGCCAGACTTGGGACTGCAGCCCCATCCGGGCCAGGCTACCGGTGCTCGATTTGGTTGTTGCGGGAAGCCAAGTGTACGGGCCACGCGAAAGGGGCCTGGGACCCCGAAGCCAGCGCCCGCCCGACGCCCCCGCCTAGGACCGCCTGAGAGAGGGAGGGGCGACTGAGCGCGCGTCCCCCACTCGTCTGCGGGTCCCGGCCGATGCGAAGTGACAGGGGCCGGAGCTTTGTTGTGGAGCCTCGGCCGCCTGGCGCCAGCCGCCCTCGCCTGTGCCCTCCCCCTCCAGCCCCGGGCGGCCCGCGAGGCGCCCCCCGGGGCCTCTTAAAGAGACACGCACACTCTGCCCGGGGGACTCCCCCGGGGGCGCCTGTTCCTGGGAAGGGGGAGGTAGACCCAGGCGGGGGTAGGGCGGAGCTGGAGCTGCGAGCCGCAAGGCGCCGCTCGAGAGGCTGCTAGGGCCGCCCCAGCGCCAGTTTTCGATGATCCAAGGGTATTCTAAGCAGAAGTTTGATTGGGGAGGGTCGATAAAGAATCTTAAGAGTGGCTACGGCACGTCGTCCGGTTAACTGCCTGATGGTGGGCTGGAGCAGTTGATGGAATCCCAGCCTGCCAGGAAAGCCTGTGACCAGCCGCAGGGCAGGTTCTTAACTCCTTAGGTGGGATTCAGGTCTCCTGTGAAACAACCACCGCGCTATAGCTGCCGGGTTTCTTGAAGTTCGTGGACAAATAATTCAAACCTTCGTGTTTCAAATCTCGAGTTCAGACGGGTAGAACAGCTGTCCTATGCTACCCAGGAAAATATCCAAAATACATACTTCGATGCATACACAATTCTTTTAAGTACTGAAGTGCCTGTCCGCATGCGCACAATTTAGCAATTGTATTGCTGATTCGAAAAACTGACCTGGCTATTTTTTGTTCACCTCA